CACACACACACACACACACACACGGACCAAAATACACATACTTGCAACAGATTAACAATGTTTCCATTGTTTTGTCTAACTTGGTGGTAGACAAGACCCTGCTTTATTTGGACTTGGCACATAAAATGTATATATTTAGCAACTTTGCACTATGTAAAGTACCTTCTATATGGCACTTTAAATTAGTCTCCTAATGGGAACTTTTCTGTGAAATGCACTTTATTGACAATATGTCTTATAACTTGTTTGAAAAAGACAACTTTTTGCACCCATGTCACCCATGCTATTTGTTCAAACTGAATGAAATTTCTAATAATTCCTAAATAATGTAGAAATCTACCTCCTTAAATTGGGAGAGCAAAAAGAAAGGGAAAACTGTTGAAAATCAAATATGACAACCTTTGTCCATTGAATTTTGGAGAGATGTGTTTCTAACAGGATACATCTGTGGGCATTCCTTGTCATATTGTTTTCCAGAGGGCATGGGTTTTTATTTTATTTTCAAAAAAAGGTTCAATCACTGACAGATTCATTCTAAACATTGTTTCTGTCATAAAATTCATATTGCTATTTCCTAATTGGTCATTTAACTGATTTTTATAACACCATGAATATACATTTCTTCCTTCTGTAGTCCAGCACTGGCCTGAATATTAGAGACCAACACTCAGCAATATTTTCTCTTACTCTGCAATTATTTGTTTCTTTGAAAACTAAATAACTATTTGTCACACTAAAAATCAAATTAAAACAATTTTTTCTTTCTGATAACATGCTGTAACAAAGCACAAGCATGTTTTAGATTGGGATGCTTGAAGATCCAGCATTGCAAGAACCTCTATTAGGTAAATGGAGGCCATTCAGTCCTTGAAAAGAGCTGTGTGGAGGTTGGGGGGAAATTAGGCAGGACCATTGTTCACAGTGTACCCAGAACAGTGCTAAGGGCTACCCGATAGCAAAAGTTAGCAAAATAACGTTTAGAAATAACAGGTGTTGAAACAAGAGGAGCTGAGATTATAGCCTTGTTTCATGAAATATTTGAATACCTTCTCCCTAGAAACTCAGTGGAATCAAAGGTGACTCTAATAGACTTTACCACAAATAGACTTTACCTCCTGGGTAGTTTTTCATCTGCCTGATCATCTCTGCTCTCATTCCAACCACCAAGAGCTGTGCTTTGGATATTTTAAGGAGTCAGGTTGGAGAGAAGGATGCATTACCTATGGTTTCTTAGAGTAAAGAGGAAGCCCTGGAAAGCACAGCTTTCCTTTAAAACAGAAACTAGTTTATAGACACATGCCCATATAAAATAGTGTGATTTCATGTATATGCACCGACTGGCTAGGTAAAATGGGGAATGTATTTTAGAAAGAAAGGATAAATTAGATGTAAAAAATAAAAAATGGCATGGATAAAAAGACGATTGAATGTAAGTGCTTCCTATAACAAGGTGGGTGAATTACTTTTAAAATGATACCAATAAAAAATGTTAGCACCTAGTTCTCATTTCATTATATAGCCTCTTCATAGAGTAGAATGGAATCACTGGAAACATACTGTGGATTAAAAAGCTGAGAAGTTAGATGGTAGGTGGCAAACTCAAGAAGCCTGAACTCTGGATTAGACATTCTAGAATATGTGACCAGTCATGTTGGCTTGTTTTGTAGCTATGAACTTTATCTGTGTTATTGTGATTCCAATATAAGGACTGAAAGAGGAAATTCATCTATTTGAAAGCATTACTATTCAAGTACTATCTGTACATTTAAACTAATTATTTCATTAAATTCATTTTAGATTTTAGAAGGTGCTATTCCTTAGTAGTAAAAAGAAAGTAAATTCTGTAATTTTGATGAAATCATTAAAGTTGTGATATGAAGATTTGATTATTGAATGGTTTCTTTTATTTACAGATACTTATTTTCCTGTAAAATATCAGCAGGAGAGTTTACCTGAAGGAAAATAAAATTTTAAACTTTGCTTGGAAAATCTAGTCATTAATCATCCTTTGATAGCTTTTTGTTGTGATTTTGGTTTTACCGGCATGTCTTCATGGTCACACTTTGTATGCAGCAAACAAAAATTTGCACCTAGAAATAAAATGTTGACTCAGTAATCTTACTAATTGTAATTAAGAAGTTTTAAAAGGTCAAAGGAATGGAAATCCACCCTCCCCACCATTTTTGCTCAACATCCTCTATCATCAATTTTGTACAATTAATCACTTGATAAGATTTTTTCTTATTATATGTTTTGCAGTTTCTCCCTTTGCTACCTGCCATTTAAATTTCAAGTTGCTAAAAATAAATTTAAAATTGCTTTTCAAAATGCTTTCTGACCTCTTAAGGTAAAACGAGGTCCTATTTCAGTTTCTTACAAGAATCTATCATTTCAAGAAAATCGAATGAAGATCCTAGCTCTTCTAGTTCTCAGATTTTTTTCAGCTATTCATTAAGGGTTACAAACTCAAGAAGCTTAGGGCCAGGGGATATCTAAGGGATCATTCAACCTGATTCAACAAGGGCCCTTGAAAGCTGTGAAGTGACTTGCATGATGTATTAGTGCCAGCTAGAAGCTGGACCCAGGTATCCTGATTCAGTCAGGGGCTTAGGACTTCAACATGATGAACTTGGAGGGGACACAGTTCAGTCCATGATGGGCAGGGAATGCAAAACAAAAACAAAGCTGGAAAAAGGAGACGCTGTACATGAAAATGTATTGATATCTCCAACTTGATAATCCAGTGTCATCTTGTAGAAAGGTGGTCAGTGTTGCTATTGAAACATCTTAAGCCAATTTCTCTTTCTCTTTCTCTCCCCATCTCCCTTCCCTTCCATTTTACACTTAAGTATCTAAGGACACTCCTTGTCATTAGGGGGTCTCTTTCATGTTACAGGCTCATTCTTTTTTTAGTAAATTCTCATAGTTTATTACTTTATATTTTTCTTTAATCCATTTTCTGTTTGCCGTTTTTGGCATTCATGTTAGTTGGATGTTGAACTTTTTGAATTGGTTGATTGTTCGTTTCAGTATTTTCCAACTCTGTTTTGTTACACCATTTGAGATACTTCATCTTCCAAGCCTTAGCCCTTTTATTTTTATACACATTGAAAATTTTGTTTTTGTTTCCAAAGTTGTTGTTTTTTTAAAGATTTTTATTGGGAAATTAGGGGAGGGGAACAGACAAGTTGCTGTCCTTTTGTTCTTCAGTCTAGTTGTGGAGGACGTTGCTTCACTAGCCCAAGCTGGCACCATCATTGCGCTCTTCCCAGGTGAGGCAGATCAGTCGCTGGCTTCTGGATGGCCGCTCACGGGTGGCTGCTGGCTACACATGGCAACCCACTGCAGCAGGGGCTGCATCCTACGCCGTTGCAGGCGACTCACAGCAGCCCAACTCCAGGTTGAGCTGTTGTTCAGCATCTTAGCTGTAGAGGGCAGTGTCACTGGCCCTCATATGTGGGATCCGAACTGGGGATCTCTGGCGTCCCAAGCCAGGTCTTAACGACCACGCCACTCGGCCGGCCCCCAAAGTTCTTTTTTGTTCTATTTCTTTGCAATATATATTATTTATTTTAAATTTTTATTGAAGTCAAACATAAAAAATGTACAAGTAGTAAATGTGGCCAATTCTCAAGAAGTAAAAAAATTCATGTAGCCTCACTTTAAAAAGGAAAAAATATTACCAGCACTCCAGAAAGACCCTCTTAAGACACGTCCCAGTCGCTACTTCTTCCCTTCTGCCTTAAGGTATCACTATCCTAATTAGGAACACAATAGAACAGTTTGCCCTATTTTTAGATTTTATCTAAATGGAACCACACAATACATATTCATTTATGTTGGGCTTTTTTCACTCAAGATTATGAGATCCATTTTCTATAGGTAGCAGTGGTTTATTTTTATTCATGAAATTAATATACCACAATTTATTGTTTTTGGATGTTTGGATTATTTCCAGTTTGATGTTACTGTGAGTAATGCTATGATCATTCTTTTACACGTCCTTTGGTGAGTATACGTACACATTTTTTGTTGGCTATATTATATGGATCCACTGTGTAGCCTAGGTTTTCCCAAATGCAGAGTTGAGACAAAGGTTTGTTATGCAGGCAGTTTGTGAAGTGATCCCTAAGAACCAAGAGTGATGGACAGGGAGTGAAAGATGTGGAGTAAGCCTATGTGAGCGCAAGTTAGAATTGGCCACTGTTAGGGGTGATTGGTGTTCATTCCCACAGGGCTTTCAAAGGAACCTAATGAAATGTATCTCAGAAATGACTGCCTGAGGAATGGAAGAGGGAAGCAAAGCATTTATCCACCAGTTTCCAACTCCACTGGTTAAGAGTGGCCACATGTATATTAATTCCAAGCACTTCTGGGTAGTGCAAGCACAAGTGCCAAGTGTGATCTCAGGCATCCAATGCCATAGTGTCTGGGCCAGAAAGAAAGAGGCTAATCATTGTCAGGTTGCAGCTGTGGGAAGGTGGTCCAAGTCAGGATGAAACTGGAGTAAGGAGCGGGTTGAATGGATTTGAGGTCATACACAAGAGATGTCTCACACACTCACCTTGTATGGATTCTTCATTTTACCAAAGGTCAATTCTCTTCATCTACTTGTCTATCCTTGTGTACCTTACATTACTGTGTAAATACCATACCATTTTAATTCTTCTAAGTTTGTGATAGTTCTTGACATCTGATAGAGTGAGTCCTATTATTTTTACTCAAGATTGTTTTGACCCTTTACATTTCTTCAAAATGTTGAGCTTATACAACTCCATAAAAAATAAAGTCCTACTGGAATTGCTTAGATACCATGATCAATTTGAGGAGAATTGCCATCCTTACAATATTGAATCTCCCAAACTATAAATGTGATACAGCCTTCTGTTATTTTTTGGTCTTCCTTAGTTCTTCTCATTGTTATAATTTCCTGTGCAAAAATTCTGCTTGTGTTTTGGTAGACA